CAATATGGTTCATGGGGTCACGAAGAGTCGGACACGACTTAATGACTAAACAACAACAACCATTCTAAATGTTGCTTCCGGGTCAGCATACAAATTCTTCAATATGCAGATGAGGTGGGCCAGTATATCCATGTTTTTAACGACTGTTCACAATTTGTTGGTGTCTGCCTGGTCAAAAAAATCTGGAAGTATTGATTTAGTAGAATCAATAAATGAAAATAAATAGTCTTTTGGAGCTCTTTTCCATTATCCATTGGATGTTTGCAGTGTGATTCCAGGTATCTCTGCCTCTTCTGAAACCAGCTTGTACATCTGGTAGTTTTTATTCCATCTATTGTTGAAGTCTAGACCAAAATGTTGAGCATTACTTTAGTACTGCCTTATTTTGGTATTGTAATATAGGCTGATCTTTTCTAGTCCTCTGGCCATTGTTGTGTTTTCTATACCTGCCTAGAAATTTTGAGCAGCACTTTGAGAGCATCATTTTGCAAGATTTTAAACAATTTTGCTGAAATTTCATCAATTGCAGGCTTGCTGTTAGCTCTGTTTTCTAGAGTCCATTTAACTTCATTTTCCAAAATGCCTGGATCTAACTCAGTGATCAAATCTTCTTATTTGGGGTCTTTTTTGTGTAGTTTTTTCCTTGTATTCATGCCATCTTTTCTTTATACCTTTTTTCTGTGTTAGATCTTTGCCTTCTTTGTCATTTGTCTCAGCCATCTTAGCATAAACGTTTTCCTTGGGTTCTCTATTTTCTTAATTTCTTGTCCTTCCCAACTGGCTGTTGTCCTCAGTTTCTTTGTATTGCATAATTCAATTTTTCTCTTTGTCTCTTCTTGCTTTGTTTTGGAATTCAGTATTTAGTTGGATAAATTTTCCTCTGTTGCTTTTGCTTTTCAAATTTCCTTAGCCGTTTTCTACATATTAGTAGATTCAGTATTTAGTTGGATAAATTTTCCTCTGTTGCTTTTGCTTTTCAAATTTCCTTAGCCGTTTTCTACATATTAGTAGACAACTGTTTTGCTTCCTTTTGCTTTTTCACAATATAGAATATTTTAATTGCTTTATTTTTAATGATTCCATGGATTTCGATCAGTCCAGATTTCTTAAGCACTTTATTTATCAAATCTACTATATTAAATGTTCTTTACCTACACTGCATATGAATATGGAATATTATTGAGATTGTTGGCTTGAATATTTTGCTTGCTTTCTTTAGTTTAAGCTGGAATTCAGCAAGAAGATCTTGTTTTGATGATTGAATAGAGCTGCATCTTTTCTTGCAAAATATATAGTCAATTTGATTTTAATGTGGTCTCTCTAAGGATATCAATTTGTAGAGTTGTCTTACATTGTTGGGAGATGGTATTTGCTATAGCCTAGCAGAACTGTGTTAGCTGCTTTGTTTCGTGTGCCAAGGTCAAATTTTCCCATTATTGCAGATGCTAGTTTAGTTCAAACTTTAGCATTCCAGTTGCCCATGATGAGTATGGCATTTTTTAAAATGTTATATTAAGAAGGTGTTCCAGAGAGCCAGTTTGGTGTAGTGGTCAAGGTACCAGACTAGAAACTGGGAGACCATGAGTTCTAGTCCCGCCTTAGGCACAAAGCCAGCTGGGTGACCTTGGGCCAGTCACACTCTCTCAGT